ATGGCAAAGAACCACTGTCGCAGAGACCTGCAAACTGAAGGCTGAACGCGTCAACGGTGAAGCTTACAATGAACACATCAAATCAACACACTTCAAAAAAATTGTGTACCGTGAATCGCCGACTACAACCACATGTTATACATTTGAATATGCAGTGAGAAAGATGCAGTGAGCTACGCACTCGCACAATCCAATGCCAAGAAATCGTTCTCCGACTTCGACGCTCAGGGCACAATTGCTAAGTTTGACACTGGGCATGGGCACCATTGTCGCAGAGACCTGCAAACTGAACAGTGAAGCTTGCAATGAACACATCAAATCAACACACTTCAAAAAAAAAAAGCAAATGGGTCCCGTGAATCGCCGACTAAAACCACATGATATTCATTTGAATAGATGTATCGGAACTCATCCTCCGACATGTCTCCAAGATGAGATCGCTTGCACCCCACAACTTCCAACACCCATGCCACTTCCTCATCCTCCGGCGGTCTCCACGCGGCCATTGCCGAGCGGCCCAGACAAAATTGAACGGTGCAGTGATTCCCGAATTATCTTTTTTGTCCACTGCTCATAATTTGAATGAAAACAACACATATATGTTTTTCGTGCTATACATCACATAGATCCACTGCATCGTAAACAAACACTGCAATTTTCGAGATCTCATGGACTGACCCTACAGAAACCTCGAGAAGTGCAAGAAATGTTACAGATACCCGTTTGCCAATCCTCACTTGTTTCACGAACATTCAGCGTACATATAAGAATATGGATGTTCACTCTGTGCACAATGCATCTTGTCTCTACGTCCACGTCTGAGCCCAGGAAAGAGGTACTTGGTAACCTCTACAACTCCTTTACACAGAAACACTTTTACACACAGACGCAACGCTTTTACACACAGACGCAGCTTTTTACCACATACGCTTTTTTACACACCTGACCCTTTTACACACAGACGCTTTTACACAGAGACGGTTTTACACACAGACGCTTCTACACGCAGATACGTTTTACACACGCACACACGCTTTCACACACAAACGCTTTTACACACAGACGCGTTGACACACAAACGCTTTTACACAGGACGCTTTTACACGCAGATGCTTTTTACACACGCACACACGCTTTCAAACACAAACGCTTTTAGACACAGACGCTTTTACACACAGACACTTGTACAGAAACGAAAGCGTCCATCGCAATTTTTCCTCAGTTTTTGACGTCCAACGTCCATTTCGTGCGAAAGGGTTACGATTGACCAAGTAAAATCGCAATTTTTCCTCAGTTTTTGACGTCCAACCTCCATTTCGTGCGAAAGGGTTACGATTGACCAAGTAAAATCGCAATTTTTCCTCAGTTTTTGACGTCCAACCTCCATTTCGTGTGTAAGGGTTGCGATTGACACCTCAAAGTCGCAATTTTTCCTCAGTTTTTGACGTCCAACGTCCATTTCGTGCGAAAGGGTTGCCGGGGACACCTCAAAGTCGCAATTTTTCCTCAGTTTTTGACGTCCAACGTCCATTTCGTGCGAAAGGGTTGCGCGGGACACCTCAAAGTCGCAATTTTTCCTCAGTTTTTGACGTCCAACGTCCATTTCGTGCGAAAGGGTTGCGCGCGACGCTTCAAAGTCGCAATTTTTCCTCAGTTTTTAACGTCCAACGTCCATTTCGTGTGAAAGGGTTGCGATGGACAAAGTAAAATCGCAATTTTACCTCAGTTTTTGGCGTCCAACGTCCATTTCGTGCGAAAGGGTTGCGCGGGACACTTCAAAGTTGCAATTTTTCCTCAGTTTTTAACGTCCAACGTCCATTTCGTGCGAAAGGGTTGCCGGCGACGCTTCAAAATCGCAATTTTACCTAGGTTTTGGACGTCCAACGTCCATTTCGTGCGAAAGGGTTGCGTTTCGTGGCGCTCCGGCGGCACCGCCCCCGCCTTAAGAGAGAATAGAAAAAGAGCGAGAGGAGATCTGCAGATGTGAAGGTGTGAAGATGTAGATCTGCAGATGTGAGGGTGTGAAGATCTAGATCTGCAGATGTGAGGGTGTGAAGATCTAGATCTGCAGGTGTCAAGGTGTGAAGATCTAGATCTGCAGATGTGAGGGTGTGAAGATGTAGATCTGCAGGTGTGAGGGTGTGAAGATGTAGATCTTCAGGTGTGAAGGTGTGAAGATCTAGATCTGCAGATGTGAAGGTGTGAAGATCTAGATCTGCAGGTGTGAGGGTGTGAAGATCTAGATCTGCAGGTGTGAAGGTGTGAAGATGTAGATCTGCAGATGTGAGGTGTGAAGATCTGCAGATGTGAGGGGGTGAAGATCTGCAGATGTGAGGGTGTGAAGATCTAGATCTGCAGGTGTGAAGGTGTGAAGATCTAGATCTGCAGATGTGAAGGTGTGAAGATCTAGATCTGCTGGTGTGAGGGTGTGAAGATCTAGATCTGCAGGTGTGAGGGGTGAAGATCTAGATCTGCAGATGTGAGGGTGGTGAAGATCTAGATCTGTCGAGATGTGAGGGGTGTGAAGATCTAGATTCTGCAGATGTGAGGGTGTGAAGATCTAGATCTGCAGATATGAGGGTGTGAAGATCTAGATCTGCAGGTGTGAAGGTGTGAAGATCTAGATCGGCAGATGTGAGGGTGTGAAGATGTAGATCTGCAGATGTGAGGGTGTGAAGATCTAGATCTGCAGATGTGAAGGTGTGAAGATCTAGATCGGCAGATGTGAGGGTGTGAAGATGTAGATCTGCAGATGTGAGGTTGTGAAGATCTAGATCTGCAGATGTGAAGGTGTGAAGATCTAGATCGGCAGATGTGAGGGTGTGAAGATGTAGATCTGCAGATGTGAGGGTGTGAAGATCTAGATCTGCAGATGTGACGGTGTGAAGATCTAGATCTGCAGGTGTGAAGGTGTGAAGATCTAGATCTGCAGGTGTGAAGGTGTGAAGATCTAGATCTGCAGGTGTGAAGGTGTGAAGATCTAGATCTGCAGGTGTGAAGGTGTGAAGATGTAGATCTGCAGATGTCAGGGGGTGTGAAGATGTAGATCAGCAGATGTGAAGGTGTGAAGATGTAGTATAACGGCTGCTTTTTTACGAAGAACCCTTCGCAGGCGCTCTCGGGAATAATAAAAACTAGGGTCCATCTTTAATTTCGGAAAATTTCAGGTTGGCCAATTTGACTTTTAATTGATCCCCTTTTGGGGACAATTTAAAAATAAAGGGTCCGCTTCGAAGTCCAAATTTTGGCAATATTTTAATTGCGTTATAAAAGGAAATTTAATTGATTTTCAAATCGGGAAAAAAAAAACTTTTTAATTGAGGGTTGAAATCTATTAGTTGGGCACGCTTCGAAATCCAATTTTTGGCAATATATATATATATATATATTAATATATTAATATATATATATTAATATATATATATATTAGTATATATATATATTAGTATATATATATATATTAGTATATATATATATATATTAGTATATATATATATATATTAGTAAATATATATATAATATCATTATTTAATTAATTGCATGACTTGGACTTTGGTTCCCTAATAATAGATACCCCCCTGATAATAAAAACTACCTGAGGTGTTTATTATTTGGGAGGGTGGGTTTAGTATTAGGGGGAAGGGATTATGCCTATGCGAGTCCTCGTCAACAAAAGCTGTCCGATCATGTCTGGGTACTGTCGGGGGTTCCCCTCCCAGGACTGATCAAGAAAAATGCGGAAAGCATGCGGAAAGCCAATGCCCATCATCATCATCATCATCATCATCATCCTCCGCCTCCTCCTCCTCCTCGTCGCAGCCGTCGTCGTCAGCAGCAGCAGCATCATCATCATCGTCATAATCATCATCATCATCAGCAGCAGCAGCAGCGGCATCATCATCATCATCATCAGAGGAGGAGGACTGAAAGCAAAGGTTCAAACATGTTGGAAACACCAACTACCCAGGGTACTGTACCCACGTTGATGCGATTCCTTCCAGGGCAGTGTCATTGTCATGGCACGCGGCGGCCCACCGTTGGCTGTTCAAATTCATCCAGGGTGGTACCATTCCCAGTTATAAGCTGGTTTAGAATCCCCATTAACTATAGATATAACCCCCATGACCTCTAGTTGTTAGAATTAGAAACTAATTTAGCTAACTATGGCCGGGCCGTGCACACCCTGCAACAGAGAAACCGAAGACGAAAAAAAGAAAAACAATGAAAAGCATATTTCAACAGGAAACTCGTGTTCCAAACCCATCCAAACCCTATTTTTTTGAGGTTACTATGTTTTCAAGTAGTTAAACACTCTGGTAATGAAACATGGCAATGAAAAGTGCCCCATTGATAGGTAGTCTTCGTCCTTTTTTTAATTTATAGGTGATTTTCAATTGCCATGCTTGATGACTCCTGTGCCCGGGCCTCACATGCCTTCCTGTTCTGCCACTGCCTGAGGGATCACTGACACAGAAATCCCATGAAAACGGTGATTTCAGATGACTTTGCCCGAAGAAAACGAAACATTGGGACCTAACCACCAAGAGGAACCAAGAGTTGGACATTTCAACAACAAAATGAATTATAGAACCACCATGTGAGCAGGTGAATGACCAACCTAAAAGCTGGGGCCTGCGGCAATTGCGGACCGACTTGTGATTTCCCTGTGAATCTATCCAAATATGTAGGCTGACTTCTCATCGTTGAGCTATGTTGAGTTGCTTCTTCCGCTGAAGGAGGAAACGCACAGATCACAAATGAAACCAATCAGACCTCGAGCCAACCGTTGCATACCAATCTTCGATGTTCGGCTCATGGAATTGTACAGTTGCAGTAACGGACACCATTTTGTTGATCTGAAAAAGGTACACTCCCCTGAAATTCCACGAATTTAACAACAATTGCTGGGGCTCAAGAAGGAAATCAGTTTCTAGACCTCATCAAATCGGGGGGGCGTCCATATTAAACTTCACCTGGGCACCATCACTGGGCATCCCAGACCCCAGAGGACATTAGGGCGAGCATGGCAGTGACCATACCGGCAAACATCATGCCTGCATTGCTTCGGGTTTCGGCACTGGTCAGTTCCAAAAGGTGCTCCTCACACCCCTTTGAGAAACGGGAAAGGGGAGAAGTTTTTAGAGATGAAATATGGAAGGTCAGGTCATTATCATAATCATCTATATAAATGATTTGGATAATAATCATCTATAATAATCATCTATATATATATATATGTTTGTGTATAATCATCATCATTTATAATGATCATTATCATTATAATATTTCCCGATGCCCTTCTCTTCTATCATCAAAGACATATAATTTGGAACGAACCCCTGAAGTTGGGATACAAATCATCCGACTGAAGGCTGGCTGCCATTTCGCAGAAGCCACTGGAAGAAGAGGTCCAGAATTTGCACTGCGCCTTCTGATAATCACGTAGTGCAATTCAAATCACTGCAGTATACCCAGTAAAATATATATAATATATAATACATAATATAATATAATATAAGATAAGATAATATAACATAATATAATATAATATAATATAACATAACATAATACAATATAATATAAATTAATATAATATATATAATAATAATAATAATAATAACAATAATAATAACAATAATAATAACAATAATAATAATAATACAGTAGCCGACCACTGCCTAAAGCAATGAACCATTGACATGTAGCTGCAATTCCAATTATCTTGAACAGCTAAGATCATCAATTGTTCATGGCACATTCATGAGAGAGTCCCCTCAGAGTGACCAGCAAGGGCTTCCTCCCGTTCGCCACCGCAATGCTTGAGTACTCAGACACTTGGCCATGAAAAGAGTTTTCGAACATGTTTCCAACCACTACACCAAACTTTCCAGAAACAGCTCATGTCTCAAAAAAAATGCTATTTGACCTCACAAAATCAGAGGTTGATTCAGGATATAGATTTTGACTCAAAAATTAGGGCGGAAAACGCTCGGGTGGCGGTTTTTTGACGGCCACAGCCAGGCCCCCGCGCCAATGTTGGCCAGGAAACAGGGCATGTTGGCCCTTACAATGCCTGCACCACAACATCCATGGCTGGTTCGATGCCCACTTATCCACTTATATATCCACTTGGACCACTTGGAGGATCATCCCAGGATGTTGATCACTGCTTCGTACCGTGGGGTTAGAAGCCACTGGGACAACGTTTGGGATACCCTCTGGTAAACATACAAAAAGCTATTGAAAATGGCCATTGAAATAGTGAGTTTTTCCATTAAAAATGGTGATTTTCCATAGCTATGTTAGTTTATCAGAGGGTAAGACATTGAATGGAACCTGCTGAATCCTCCACTTACTGGGATGATCCTCCAAGCACCGGTTTTTCCAGCCATGGAAATTGCCCATGGCTGGATGATTTACCTCTTAAACATGGCCATTTTCCTGGGGGCTATGTTAGATTTAACATGATTTAACGGAGGATACTGTAGCGTTTATTTGATTGTTATATAATTATATATATATATATGTGTGGCCAATTATATATATATATAATTATATATATATATGATATGCATGCTTATTTGATGAATAGTTGCCGCTTATGTGATGGATATGTTGATGCACCCTCTCTGGGGAGAAACATGGCTGGAAAATGAGCGCTGCTTGCGCCCCAAGTGGCATCTTCCGAAGACTCCGCAGTGATGATCGAAACCTACAACCTCAAGGGGAGGTTGGGGCCAGGTGGATGATGTACAAATGGGATGTCCAGCTGATCCGAATTTCTAGGTATGACATCATGATATGGTACCCTGAGTGCAGATCAGAGCTCAGGAATTCATAGGAATTCTGGTGAAGAACAGCCCTGAAGTACCCCACTGAGACATTCTCAGTGGTTACGTTCACTTGAAGCGCTCAAAGCGTCCTCGGTTAAAGGCTTCCTATGGGTTCCTACTGGCCCTACTGGTGGTGCCCTGGAGAGCCAAACGCGTCAGTGGGAGCTGTGGCCAAAAGGGAGGCCAAAGACTGCAGCCGTGTGCCCATGCACAAATAACGATCACGGGCTGCAGTGTGAAAATATCTTGAAGCCAAATGCATCCAAATGCATGCCGCATCGAACTGTACAGGAAAAGGACCCTGAAAACTATCATGATCTAATTCTCATGGAATCAAACAACAATGATCTTCTAGACCCCAGTCTTGGGATTCCATGGATTTTGAGGAGTACCCCTCCACCAATCGCACCACTCGTACCACATCCTCATGGCTCCCCACACAGCGCTGACAAACGTTGCAGTGATGAACTTTCCCCGCCTCAGCCATGGGGGAGGGTTGTGCCACACCTCCCAGAATATCTGTTGGAAACCGGAACCAAGTCGAACATGATTGGACAATGATGTAATGAGGTTAATTTTTTTCCTTTGATGGAATGAGGTTCACTTTGAAATTTTTGCTTCTTGGTTCATTGTTCGGGGATACCCGGCACCTCTTCCGTTGGTTGTATTCCAGTGGTCTTGGAATAAATCACACTCTTCTCTACCTAGAGCAAGTCCCGTGTCTATGCTGTGCGACTTGCATCATCTGTTGCCTAAAGATTCCAACCCATTCATGCTCGTAGCCCCAATCAATCTTGCTGATTAACCGCTCATATTTTTGCCGGTGCTTTTTCTATGTTTTTCTCCACTTTTTGCAGATAGGCCACTTAGGCTCCTGCGTGTAGCAGGTCCAGTACCACCTGCTTCCCTACAGCATTTCCTTCCCCCTGAGGAGTGATACATTTCGAGGTCTCCAAAGACAGCATCGCACGCAGTAGGAGTCGTGCATTGGATACTCCTGGCACCCGGCTCTCGGGTCACTGCCTGATGGCCTTGAAGCTTCCAGGGCTCGATATGCTCGATGCCCCCAGGATTTCGGAAAAATGGGTATGGGCCGTAGAATCAATTAGAATCTTGTACGCTGATTTTGACATCCCAAAGACAAACAAGTTTGCACAGTGCACGGTGAACTCTCTCACTCTTCATTTCTTTCCAGTGTTCCCTTTTGACTCGAGGGCATTGACGTGCGGCACCCCCTAAGAGCCACAGGCCAATCAGCGTACCCACTAATTCATGCGGATACGACCAACCTCCCCAATACCCCATCAGTAAGGAGGGCTCATTTCGATGCTTATGAACCAACAACAACAACAACAACAACAACCACAACAACCACAACAACCACAACAACCACAACAACCACAACAACCACAACAACCACAACCACCACCACCACCACCACCAGCAAAAAGGCTTAGGAAGCCTGATATTATTGAGGGGGCCACTTGGCGGATCATCCTCGATAATCCTCCAGGCTCCCCCAATCGTCCTGTCCGGCGGGGACGTTCTTCAAGCCCTCGAGCGTTCGCTGCCTCGGGGGAACTGGATCTCAACGTGAAAGATCGTGAAAGTTCGGATGGAAAAACAGTCTTCAGTTCCTATATGCATATTAGTTATTCCATACAAACATAAGATATTCCCAGTTCCAATCGCAATCTTCAATCCACCAGCACTTTAGTAGGTTGCTCTTCTATCTTTGAACGGGTTGCTATCAGTGGCGTTAAGAACTCGTTGAAAACCATTGCTGCATACCCAATGTACCAAATTCATCCAAATTCTACTACTGTACGGGATATTACATTGACATAGGAGGTATTAATTTACAGTGAACTAACATAGCTATAGACAAAAATTTCCTATTAGTTCGATGATTTACGGAGCTAAAAGAAACGGTGATTTTCCATTTCGCAAACTGCAACAAATTACCCGAGGGTATCCCAATCTTATTGGTTGGTATATCCCTTAACGCCCTTAATCGTTTCCCCCCAATAGTAAATACCATGCTTTAGTAGGGAATTTACATGACTGGGACCATTTACTATAGGGGGTGTCTAATATGAAGGGGGGCTGAGATTGTGCGGGGTGTCTAATATGAAGGGGGGATGAGATTATGCCATCATCAACAATGTCCTTTTGGAAAAATAGAGGGACTCGTTTGGTATGCCATACCATTTATACCCATTGATCATCATTTACCTCTTGGTTATCCAGGGCTATCAGCCCGTCTATTAGTCAAAAAATGAGCCTAACTTCGTGAAAAGGTCGAATCTAGATCACCATCTTTAGCTAAACATCATCTATAAAATCTATAAATAGGGCATTTTCCATGGCGTTTTCCATCATGTTTTCCATCCACCAAGGCACTGCTTGAGACATTGCTCCACCTCTGCTGGGATGGGAAAGCACCTCGGTATCATAGCTGGAAAAACCCACCGGAAAATCCACCAACCAAACAACGGGAAATCATAGGAACCATGTGGGAAAATGATAGGAAATCCTATCTAAATATGAATATATGGAGGTTTTAATGGGAAAATCAAACTAAACAGGGGAATTGAGGTCCATTGCTATGTTTGATTGAGGCTATCTCTAAAAGTTTTTTGGCATTCCCATCCCATGTTTGTTCGTTAAATCCAAATATATATTATATAAGATTTTTTCCGCCTAATTGGGGTTGGGTTTCGGATCTGGGGTTGGGTTCTGGGGTGTGTTTTTTCTTGCCTCGCGGCTGCATTTTGAAATCTTTCAAATCAGAGCTATAAGCTCATTTTCCATGCTACAGCAGCAGTACCACATTCAAATAAACAGCTTACAGCTGCTCTTGACAACAACAGAGTCAGGGCCAAACCTTGGGCCAAAATTTGATCAGACGGTCAAGAGCGATGGCATTTTCATCGCTCAGACCAAAATATTGAACCAAAAGGTTACTCGAAATTTTGAACGCTTGCATATCTATCGCGTCCAGCTCACTCGCATATAAACACGCCCGCACCTGGAGGGCCACTATTGCGCGCCTTCATACCGTTCATGATGGCGGACTACATGCAAAATCTTGCCTTAAAACGGCACGGCGGTCCCTTTAACCAGTGCGATGAATGATTCATCCAAACGGTTCAGAACGATTGGAATTTGAATCCCTGAGGTTGGGCTATATGGGCGATGCGACTCATGTGGAGTTTTGCTGCCTGGAGGCTCCTTCGGATGCAAACAGGTATATAAATGCTGAAGGCTTACTACTTGGCACGGTTGAGCCCTGGATGGCTCGCAGACCATGGCAAACAATGGCAGATCATGGCAGGCTTTGGAGGCAAAAGTGCATTTTTGTCAGGTGCGCTCTAGGTCCAGCGCCGGAATTTTGAAGGCATCAAGCTTCTCTATATTAATTTGGGTTGCGCATGTTGATGTGGACTTTGTTCTGACTCGTGCGAATGATGCACCACCCACTGTGCTCTGAAAGACTTCAGGTACCTGCTCAAAACCCTTCCCCAAGACGGTGTGCAAAACATGTCATGTTTTGTGTCTAGAGTCAGGGCGAGAAAGACGACAAGATGACGAACGGTCAGTGGCCGGTCCACAAAATTTGCAGCGCGTTGCAGCGTGAAGGCCGCTACTGTCAAGCGCAACGAGAAACAAATCTGTTTTCATGGACTGATTGCCTCTGAGCTTGTGTCGCGGAAGATACGCATGCAAGCTAGCGGCGCAATCCGTGTCCATTCTTGCATGGGCTGAAAAAGATTGCTCTAAATCAAAACAATCGTGCGGGCGCCTTCACGGCTCGCGATCACAGTTTCAAGGTCTTCACTCCTTTGGACTCCTTTGTATGGGATCTGTTTGTGGCAGGCGCTGTGATGGTCCTGATGACTTTAAGCGATCAGCGGCTTGAAGCTATCAGCGGCTGCATGCGCACCTGCTGCAAAGGAGGACGGCCTTCTGCGAAGAGATAGACCTTCTGCCTGCATTTCAATGATGGAGAAGGTCGGAACCGCAAAGCCGAATTTCGCATCACAACCTTAATGCTGGTGATGGCACGGGATTCCACTGAAGGCCTGTTACGAGGCTGATTTTATTGTTTTGTTGTTTTGGTGCCAGGTATCGAGGCAAAGGCTTTTTTTGGCCGCATCTCGACCATGAAAAGCTGATTTTGCGCGGAATCTCGGCCGTGAAGGTGGGTTTGTGCCAGATTTTAATCGGATCCGGCGCAAAATCTGCCGGATCTCGGATGCTGAGGCAGATTTTGTGCCGGATTTCAACCGTGAAGCTTGATTTTGTGCCAGATGTCAACGGGATCCGGCGCAAAAACTGCCAGAGCAATGGCGGAGGCTGATTTTGTGCCAGATTTCTGATAGGGACGTTGATTTATTTGTGGTGGACGTGAACGGCGCACGGTGCAAAATCGCGTTACCTAAATTCTCTTTGGCTGGGTGTCCGTGGCATGGGGACTTGTGCGCAAGATTTCCACGGCGCGCAACGCAAACGTCAAAGAGTTGTCTTAGTAGACAAGCGCCACTGATGCACAAACATGCACAAACTGCTCAAAAGTGAGTTGGTTTCAGGCTCGGCCGTTTGAGCTGGATGTCGACAACATCCAGCTCAAAAACCATTGAAACAGAGCCTGCGGAGCCAATTCTCTTGCTTTTCCCCGGCGAATTGGCTCCGCAGGCTCCGTTTCAATTGTTTTTGAGCTGGACGTTGTTGACATTGGAAACAACAAACAATCACCATTGGCCTCGTGGGAAACTTGGAAACCTCACCGGACCTCACCGTCCCGGCCGCCCCAGGTGCCCCAACGTCTTTTCGCTCCGGTGTACCACCCCGGCATTGCCAAAGAGGAGATACAGAGTGCTGAGTACCGCCACCCCAGCCTGGGTAGGCTACGGGAGTCCCATGGATTTGCATCGATCCATGTCGGGATGCCTTCCAGATTTTGTCACATTTATCGCCTGCCCGAATCCCGGTTACACACACTTTGCAAAAATGTTCAGTTCATTTACTATATGGAGGTTTCCTGAAATGGGGGTATCCCTAAATCATTCATTTTAAATCATATTTTAATAGGATTTTCCATGAAATAGACCATCCAGCTATTGGGGTACCCCCATGACTATGGAAACCTTCATATACTCAACCCAGTGGGGTGAACCTCAACAACTATCATGTGCTTGGGACACTGCGTAGCTCCAACTGGCTCCCCATGTCATTTCATAGGAGTGCCCCTAGCCATCATCAATTTATAGATGGATGTTCCATGAAATAAACCATCTAGCTATATTTAGCTATTGGGCTACCCGCACTTTAGAAAACCCTCGCCATCATAATTATATCAATATAATACTCCATCATGATTGGCCAAATTATGAGGTCCATCTTATCTCATCATATTCCCATCACATATCAAATTTTATACAGTACATAATCATATATAATACCCTCTGGTAATTTGTTACATAGCTATTGAAAATGGCCATTTATAGTGGATTTACCCATTAAGTATGGTGATTTTCCATAGTTATGTTAGTTTACCAGAGGGTATATATGCACCAGGCCCTGCCCCCCCCCCCCCCCCCCCCCCCATATGGGATGGGTCCCATATACTGGTCCCATATGAGATCTTCCCCCTCCCCCCCTGTGGTGTGGTGGGGGTGTGGCACTGTCCCCCTCCCCCCCCTGTGGTGTGGTGGATGGGTCCCATATACTGGTCCCATATGAGATCTTCCCCCTCCCCCCCTGTGGTGTGGTGGGGGTGTGGCACTGTCCCCCTCCCCCCCCTGTGGTGTGGTGGGGGTGTGGTATGGTATGGTGGGTATGTATGGTGTGTATGGTCGGTCTGGTATGGCATGTTTGGAAAGTATGGTATGTTTGGTATGTATGGTAGGTATGGTATGTATGGCATGAGTGGTTGGTATTGTATGGATGGTAGGTATGGTATGTAAGTCTGTTGGATATGGTATGTTTGATATGACAGTATGTATGGTTTGTATGGTATGTATGGTTACTATGATGGGTATGGAATATGTCCTATCTAAGGTAGGTATGGTATGTATGGCATGTATGCTTGCTATTGTATGTATGCTATTGTATGTATGGTAGGTGTGGTAATTACATTTCATATGTATGGTATGTATGGTATGTATGATAGATATGATAGGTATGGTATGCATGGCATCATTGACATGTATGGTAGGTACGGTATATGTTCAACAGAGGTAGTGTTGTCAGAGTACACAGTAGTAAACAGGAAGTAGATACAGTAGATACATAGCACATGTATGTATGACTATAGGTAGCACGTAGGTACTTTGAAGGAGTATGTGTGCTACGTAGGTCGCCTAAAAGGTAGCATGTACCTAGTAAATGCGAGGCTGGTAGTCAGAAATGCTGCAAAGACCTAGCAAATACGACGCTGGACCTCAGAAATGCTGCCAATAGCTTGCAAATAGAAGGGAATTGGGGCTACTACCTGGGGACCCAACCCATGGGGGGGGGGGGGTGGAGAGACGGAGGACGGGACCATATATACCCATATGGATACCACCATTCCCTCCCCAACAAAACCAACCTGCGCACCTCCGCCCAAATGAGCGTCACTGCGATCTGACCGAGGCCCGTGACCTTCGGAAGGTCACAGGCCGCGGAAATTTTGCGCGGGATGAATCAAGTTCTTGCAATTTTAAGTTGGAAAATGATGATAAACCATGACTGGTTGGTGGTTTCAACCAACCCCTCTGAAAAATGATGGAGTGAGTAGCAGTTGGGGTTATATTATTCCCAATATATGGAAAAATAACCCAAATGTTCCAAACCACCAGATGATACAGCGGCAAATTTGCGGCTTTTCCTCCAAATGGTCCAGACCATCCCATATTCTGACACCTGCACCTCGACCTTGCGAGTTGGGAAGAAATGCCCACCAGCAGGTCCATCATAGACACCATATCCAGAGCCAGGAGTTGAACCAGACACATTTAAAGATATTTAGAGCATTTTAAAGCAATTTTTGGTGGACCGAAATCCACCCTCAATGCTACTCAATGTTGGTTGTTAAAGGTTGTTATTTGATACTTAGACTTGTCAATTCTCAGTTTCCGCTGTTTCCAAAAAAACGCCTCCAAGTCGTGCTGGGCGAATTCCTACTTTCTGTCGTTGGATGTTCTCAGCGATAAACCTCCATGGTTTTTTTTCGTTCGGATTTCATGGGATTTCCCGATTCCACGTTTGATGACACTTGGCAGGAGAAAATACGAGAAAAGCATAGAAAATCAAAGAAAATACTAGAAAATCATCGAAAAACAAGCGCTTTTCAACCACTTTATCATCCCTTCTCATATCCGCAAAGGCCTCACCTCCTACCCCTCATAACAAGCGCCTCGGGAGTACTAGTGGCCTCGATGGAGGAGAGCTGGGAAAATCAACCATTTATTTATATATAGGTATGTGTATAGAGACATATATATATATATATATGTATCAACTGGGATATATGTAACCCCGATATATGATACATATATATATATATGATACATATATATATGTGATTATGATGATGATGATCATGATGATGATGAAATATGTAACTGGGATATATGATTGTATATGTAACCCCGATAACTATGGTTTTACATATTACATATTATATATATATGTATGTATATGTATAATTAGATATACATATTAATTACATATCTGTGTGCAGGTGTGTTGAAACTTTTTCTGGTGGAATTCTCCCGCAAACCCCTTTTTGGGGGAGCAAAGGCTAATTGTGTTCAGGGATAACCTACAGGATACCATGGCTTTGCCATCAAAATCATGGGGGGTCCTGAATTTTTTCTCACCCAATTCTGAAACTTGGGAAACTCAGACTCAAGAAACACTATGTTTATCTATGTTTATAATTTTTTGGGGAGTGGATGGGGGGTCAATGGTAACAACCTTTTTGTGGGCTGCAACTCCTCCATTGAAACCTCCATAAAACCTCCGAGCGACACCATAGGTCAGCGCGATGAGGATGCAGCACAGCACCTAACAACCAAGGTAGAACCATGCCACAATTTTCCATGGGAATGCTCCAATTTCGAGGATTCCAAATTGTGAAAAATTGGGGCCATGTCCATTTTGGAACATGCCACGTCCAAGGCAGAATGGAAAATCACGAATGTGTTTTTAACCATTTCGAGCAGATAATCAATGGAGCATCAAATGATAGTTGATCCCTTGAATCCCTTGCCCCAACAAAAAAGCCGGCTGAGGAATCACAACTGGCAGTTGGAAAGTCAGTACACAGTTGACCCAACATGAAGTGACCAGCATTTTTTCCACCCAGGGACCCAGGGATATCAGCGATTCAGTGGCAAATCCAGCTGTGCTAGTCCCCAGCTGCAGCTATTCTTTCTTCCATGTCTCCAAGGTCCCAACCAGCTGACTTTCTTCCCCAGAATCCCCAGCATCACTGCAGACAAGGCACTCCAACCACGCAAATGCCCATAAACGGCTCGGTCCAAAAGGCAGCACCTCTCTTGGGCCTCGGGACTGCTTAGACTGCTTAGACTGAGGCAAGCTTGAAATTGCTGTCATGTTCTGAAGGAGCTCGGTGTATAGATGTATATGCAGTGGACATGACTCCCCGTGTTTTTTTTTAAAGAGAGTTATGTATGTTATGTATGTTATGTATGTTATGTATGCTATGTATGTTATGTATGTTATTTTGTTATGTATGTTATGTATGTATGCATGCATGGACAGACGGACGGACGGATGGATGGTTGTTTGATGTTGTTGGTATGTCTGGTTATATACAATATATAAGTTATAATTTTCGGGCAACATTCAAACATTCAGGTCAAAGTCTTCCAAAACTGTGTTTCATAGATGGAACCGAATGCTGAGCAATTTCTACAGTACATCTCTTCGATACTTCACTGGGCATGGGCAGACCAAAGCCCACGGTTCGTGATTCCCGTCCTTCAATGATAGCATTTTATGGCAGAGTATATGTTACAATGCAACCTGCCCAAAAAATGGATGCTTAATGTTTCCCCTTCACAAAATCAAGAGTGTTGCGACAAATCCAGCCTTAGGTCAGCATGCCTTTGCAGCAAGGGTGCGCTATGTTTAGGTTGACAAGGTGTTGGGAATGGGCCGGGTCTAAATCTGTGGCTATGCCATATTGATATGTATCGATATGTACAGTATCGATATGTATGTAGTCACAAATTACGTATCAAGAATCCGTGTGCATATTATATATACATGTGTGTGTGCGTGCATACAATTATACATATACGCGTGTAACCTACATACATACCAGTATATGTAACACATATCTATATTATGTATATATGCGTATGTATATATATATACGTATATATATATATATATATACATATATATATATATATACATAGAGTCGGGATGAACGATGGCCGCAGTGATAATCATACATTTTTTCAGCTGCCCCGAAATGCGATGCTCAACCCTCCGCAAATCGCCCATGGTCCGCACAGGTCAGGGAGGTCGCTGATGTCCAAGGTGGAACCCACCGCCTGGCGATGGTCCATGGCTGTCAGGGTCACGGCCACTATCTGGCCACTGGGTTGATGAAAGCAAAGTATAGCAATCGGCTTGCCGATTCAAAAACACTGCACCAGAAAAAAAAAACATGAATTTTCCCTGACTATCCCGTAAAATCCCATGGAACTGTGGTTGGATTAGCTGCAAACATCATTTCACAGTTCCAGCCGTGGTTTACCCACTGAGTGCCCGACGATTTCTTCATCTGTCTCAGCCCCATCGCACCAGCCTTGGGACCCGATGGGCCATCGAGGGATCAGCGGATCCGCATCCCCCAGCGGGTTACCCCAATAGCTGGATGGTTTAACATGGAAAATACCATTAAAAAAAATAAAAATGAACATGAATGGTGAATATCAGCATGCTCATGTAATTCCAAACTCATGTTTCATGTAATTGTGTAGATCATACTGGCTCATAAACATCTCACATAATTAATCTGTTTGAATCTTGAATCTACTTGAACTACTTGAATCAACTTGTCCCTCGCCGTCATCATGTCGAAACCCCGCCGGGGGTCTTCCCTTCGGCCACCCTGAGCCTAGAGCCAAAGTGATCTCTTGGTTCTAGCTACATGCCCCACTGAGCTCTAGCTCTCAGGCTATCCCCTTCTTAGATCACATCCACTGTATCCCTGGTTCCAAGATGTTCCTAGAAAATATAGGCTCTACCACCATGCTTTAGTCCTTTGAAGGTTAAAAGAAAACAATTGCAATTAGTAAAACCAACAATAACCCGTCCCATTAACGAAGCATTTGGGGGATCTCTTACATCATGCCAAATTGGGGCACCAATGAAAAAATAACCTCTACTTGGGGTTGGTTCCTCGTAGTTATCCCATAATTATCCACTATTGTTGTCCCATTGTTATCCCATATTATCCCATTCGAAATTCATATCCTATGTAACAGTTATCCCACTATTGCTGGGTTTACCACATAGTTGATGATGAACTATTATATAATAAAAGATGATAGCTCACACTAGTTGTTAACTATTGATCGTTATTTATGGTTGCTTTAATGGCGATTAATTATTGATGATAACTATGCCATAACTATTAATGATCAACTATTGGTGGTCATGTTCAATACCCAAAATAACCATCAAACCAGTGATAACCCAAACAAATAATATAACAATCATGAGTATCAGGGGCGTATCAGCGATTCCTGACAGCCAGACTGAAAAAGAGAAAATTCTCGAGTGCCCGAATGTAGAGCACCAAACCAGAGAATCCAGAGATTGATATTCTGGAGGGAGATTAATTGATATTGTTATATTTGTTATATTCTTGGTAGCTCTTTTTGATGGTCATGTTATTTTTCACAACTGTTACTCTGTTACCCCCAGGGTGACCTCCTGGGTCTCCGATCCCAGTGCCATTGGCTCGACTCGCGCACCCCGCGGAACCGTGCCCCCGCGGTCTAGCCCACCAGGGGCCGTGTGAAGCTGCGCAGTGGGATGTAACCCATATGTAGCCCCTATAACTATGGTGCTAACTGGTTGGTGGTGCAATGTGCCCATCTTGAAAAATATGAGTAAGTCTTTCTAAAGTCAATGGGTTTCGGATGACATCCCATATATGAAATGGAAAATCAAAGTCATGCTTGAAACCACCAACCAGGTATATGTCTATGTCTATGTGTGTATCCACTTCCGACTGGAATATGTTGGAATCCCTCACAGATCATCACTGACGAGGAATTTTCTTGGCCCATCATGTTCCTTGGTTTTTTCATGTTTTTTCCATATGTTTCCCACATTTTTCCACTTTCAGCTGGTAACTGTTGAGGGACTAGGCATCAATCCAAACCTTGGTTCGATCCAACTTCCATCCCTCCATCATCAGTAAATTCAATATTTAGTTGGCAAACTAAGTATGGTCAAGTCACCATTTCTGCTGGCAAAACCACCATTTGTCATCATTTGTCCATAGTTTTCCCGGATGTGTTCCCCGTTCAGTTTTCCCCATGACGCTACTTCCTCCCGCGTGTTTTTCTTTCGCTTCAAACGGCTGAGAGCACGTAGCCCCAGGCCACACCCGCGTCGCCCAGACGTAAGGACTTCTCGACCTCAGCAGGGGGAGGTTGACCTCAGCAGGGGTTCCTAATGACATCCTCATCATTATCCAACAGATCCCTCCCAATCTAAAAAATTCATTCGCCACATTGATAATAATTCACTAACCTGAAATGTTTGGCCAATGTTTTATAGATAGGTTTTATCAATGGTTTTTATCATGTTTAATCATTTATAACGGGTTTTTATCATGATAATCCACCAATGGCAGCCTCACATCGGCTGACGAAAGTCCCCGGAAGGTCATCCCAGGGATTGCGCTAAAATTTCACCATCTTCCAATGTGCCAATGGGTGGCCTCAAATGGTGACACGGTGAACCATTGGGTGCACCAGAATACATACTAGATATATATATATATATAATTATATATATATATGTTGTGTTCACTTGTCTGATGTTTCATCTATCCAACTATATATTGAGCTAAAGTATGTGTTGATGTGCTGATTCATTTATTTACATTCATGTATCTGTAATTATCTATCTATCTATCCATCCATCCATCCATCCATCCATCTATCTATCTATGCATGCCTGTGCGTGTATGTGTAATTATGCAGATGTACCTACAGTACATGGATTTTCGACTGCTTTCAACCGATGCAACTGCTTTCACCACGAAACATGATACGAGTATTCCCTGGGTTGGTTTTAGGAAGAGATACAGGAAACGGCCGTTTTCTTTTATCTTTGACACCGATTCTTGTGGCAATTGAGAATCCACCACTTAGTTCGATGAAGTTCCCAGCTAGAAACCTCCATTTACAGGGAATTGTCCATTGCCACGTTTGATTATCGGAGGGTACATCGTCTATGTGATGTGTATCATATATATATATATAATTATGTATTAATAATGTATATATATATATATCTGCGTGTGCACGTCATATGCACCTTTTTATTGGTGTATCGTTTCTATACCCAATCTCTGTGCTCCCCGTATCCCACCTCTGGCCTCTCTTTCCGAGTTTCCTTCTTTCTCAGCGGCCCAACGCTTGCATGGGCATGTTGCAAATGCTCTGATGGCAGATTCATCTGCACTCACTAAGCCCATGGTTTGGTTTGTCCAACAATTGGGTGCCCCCGAAATCCAGCAGTTTATCATCATTTTTACCATTGTATAATATATCATACATGTATCTATCTACTTATCTATCTTATCTATTAAAATCACTCAGCTAAATGTATAGTGCCTATTTAAACAAATAAAAAAGAAACACGTCAAACCCATTCCTGCAACAAAAATCATGATACCCAACATCCTTTCTGGACGCACCGAAAGGTTCCAACCTCCAGGTTTCCCGATCCAGGAGGAGTTTCTCCTCCCGGTCGCTGGAGATGGAAAACCCTACGGACACCGTACGGACGGCGTACTTTTCACGTCAGTCCCGGATGCCTGCGGCGTGAAACTCCCGCTGGTCCCGCAGAAACTTCAGCGCTTGATCCTTGGTGGCTGCGATGGCTGGTGAAAACCATGGAACCAGAAAACCTGCGGTTTGGCTCATGCAAACTCTGAAATTCTGCTGTCTCAACATCTGTTTTAAAAGTGCCCTTTAAAAAAAACACATCTTATACACTACATGTATCTATTTAAGTATATACCTATAGCTATGTTCATATCATATATTATATGGTATTATATTGTCTCAATCACTACTTACTCACCTATTCTTCAGGGGATCAAAAAAAATCGTCCCGGCTTCACGGCACCAGTTGCAGCGAGGCAGCATGAGCTTCCAGAGTTGCCAAACGCTCCCAGTCGATGGATGTGAGGCAAATATCCACCTGTTCATCCTGAATCATAGGGATTCCACCCCCCGTTTGGCTTATGAAAATCAGTTTGGCTTTATGGATTTCTCTGAGGGACCAATATGATTCTGTCAAAATGGAAAATCATTAACTATTTATTATTATATATTATTATATATTATTATTGCTAAGATGTCACTTCCCATATTAGCCATATTTTGCACTTCATTTTGCATTTCATGTCAGATCCAGCAGTTGCAACATTTATCAATTGCAGCTGCCCCTTTTCCAAATCAAGATTGGGGAACGATCCCCGCCGAGCACGACAAGGAGAAAAATCAGAGGCCGCAGCTTAGGTGGGACAGTCTGCTTGCACCTGCTCACAAGCAGGTTATGAGCCCAAGAGGCTGCAAGCTCTAAGGATGATGGATCGTCGTCGAAGGGCAACTAGAGAAGAGTTAGCCCAAGGCGAAGAAGAAATGAAGCAGGCCGAGGCAAGACTGAGAGCTGAGGCTGCAGCATCTAACGAAGAGGCCATAGAGGATAGGAAGTCTGGAGATCAGACGAATGGACCAGTAGGGTCAATAGAAGATAAGAGGGAAGATCTCATGAAGAATAGCCCCAATGCTGAAGACACCCCGAAACCAGCCAGGTCACACCCTCCGACCACACCGCCTCCGCCACATCCACCAGTGCAGGATGTCAGGTCAACAGGTCTGAAGACACCAGAGCCAGGGGAGAGAGGGAGGCGAGGAGCAGATGAAGGCAAGGAGAGTCAGCGTCTTCAAACTCCAAGAGAGGACAGGACTGAGACAATGGGTTCTCGGGAGGGGCAGAAGAGTGAGGTTGAACAAACTCCACTGTTCACAGAGGAACAGGTTCGAGCACTCCACAGTTTGCATGAGCAGGCACCATGGTTGTATCAGTCTGGTCGCTCAGTTTTCTCTCCCTATCCGCATCCACAACGTCCAGCTTTCTTAGATCAAGAAGAAGACAGATTGAGAGAGTTGACAGAAAAGGAGAGACAGCTACAGCAGATGCGAGATAGGCTGTATCAAGAAAGGTTTGAGAAAGAGGAATTGAAGAGAAGCATGGTGTCTGTCATGGAGGAGAATCGGAGAGTGATGTCAAGACTCTCTGAACTTGAAGCTAGGATCAAAGACCCCGAGCCAAGGTTTGCCACACCAGAAGGTTCACAACAGAAGGAGGCTGAGGCCGCCAAGACAGCACAATCCCCAGAGGAGGACGAGACCTCCAAAGCCCATGAAGGTCCAGGCCCGACCTTCACCCCCGAAGCACCCAAAGCAGAAGCAGGAGGGAACATGACCGAAAAGTTCATGCTCCTGATGATGGAGTCAATGAAGGAGATGCACAAGAACTACATCAACAACAAAGAAGAAGCCGGCATGGTAAAAGGCGTAGAGGTAGTCAGGAGTGGAGCACCAGACTTGCCAGCTCTACCACAGTGGAGCCCATCACAAGGACCTCTACAGCTTGGCGATTGGCTTCTCTTGCTGGAGCCTCTGGTTGCAGACCTATCTACGACGTCTGAAACGTGGTGGAGGTTGGTGACAAGTGGTGCCGAGAGATGGTACCAGACTCACGTGAGCCTTTCACCACTGGATCGAATCCAACACAAAGCAGACCCGCCAACAGAAGTCCAACAAGAGAAGTGGCAGAGACTGGAACGAAGGGTTTCAGTCATGCTTCTCCAGGCGATTCCTGAAGGCATACGAGAGGAGCTGGTGGCATCACGCCGCCTGGGGGTCTTTGGCATCTTGACCCACCTCTACACTGTCTATTGCCCTGGAGGAGTCTATGAGAAACAGACGTTGCTCAAGAACTTAGAGGAGCCAGCCGAAGTGAGCGCAATCTCAGAAGCCCCGGGAGCCATCAGGAAATGGCTGAGGTGGAGGAGAAGAACAGAGGAGATTGGAGCTGTCGCTCCAGACCCAGCCTTACTCTTAAAGGGCCTCAACCGGCTCACTCGAAGAGTGATTGAGCCGAACAAGGAGTTGCAGTTCCGCATCTCTATGGTGCGCAACAGCCTGGGCGTTGACACCACGCCTACAGCAGAAACAGTAGGCCACTTTGCAACTCACCTGCTAGCAGAGCTTGAGCAGGTGGCCCTCACAGAAAAGAGAGCATCTCCAGCAGCAGCCAAAGCAGAAGCACCAAAGATCAGGCAGTTTGAAGCAGAGAGAGGAGACAAAGAGAAGGGCAGAGGTAAAGGTCAGGAGAAGAATTCAGAAGACTCAGGAGGGAAGCCGAAGTGTCACTTCTTCCTGAGTGAGAAGGGGTGCAGAAAAGGTAAGCAGTGCACCTTTTCACATGATGCAAAAGACGAGAAGAAGAGGTGCTGGACGTGTGGGGCCACAGACCACATGTCACCCAGCTGCACAAGACCGAAGTCAGCATCAGGAGAAGGAAGCCCGACCAAGGCAAAGAGCCTAAGGTCTGAGGGGGAGGAGAAGCCACTGTCCCCGAAGGAGTCAGACACACAATCTTCGGCAGCATCAGACCTTTCAATGAAGGAGCTGATGGAAGAAGCCAACAGAATGCTGAGGTCTATGTCGACGTCTGCATCAGGAAATGCAGCATCGGCGAGCTCCGCAACCAAAGAAGAGGAGGTGAGGAGTGATGTCATGGAAAGGTTGCAGCAGCAACTTAACAGCATGAAGATGAAGGTTTTGAGGATCGGCAAGGTCATGAGGTCAGGAGATCAAGGTCTGATCGACAGTGGAGCCACACACCCTCTCCGACCAGCAAGGTCAGGAGAAAACATCACAGCATACAAGCAACTGCAGGTCACACTGGCAGATGGAGGCGTCACTCGACTGCCGATGTCCCCAGGAGGAGCTATGGTGAGTCCAAAGAAGGATACAGAGCCGATTGTTCCAATGGGACAGTTGACGGAGCTCCTGGGATGTGAGGTGAAATGGAAGGGAAGGGAGCTGGAACTGAATCACCCAAAGAAGGGGTTGCTTCCAGTGTATCACCATGAAGGGTGTCCTCAGGTCTCTAAGGCGTTGGCGTTGGAGCTCATTGAGGAAATAGAAGACAAGGTGCAAGGCATAGGCACCAAGGCAGGTGACTTCAAGGAAGAAGAAGAATGGATGAAGAGATTGGCCCAGGAGCACCCAGTGCTGAGCAAGCTGCCACCGTGGATCAAAGACCGACTTGCGGTGACCCCAGGAGAGTGGAGCAGCTTGCCACTGAACAGGAAGTGGAGGAAGAG